TCGCAGTTTCATGATTAATATTCGTAGGCGGTGAGAAAAATATCGTGTACGATTACAGTCAGGGAGCACTAAATTCAGTAGTCAGATGAAATCACACATCAGCTGCATTTGAAAAAATCTCAAAAAGTTAAGCCCAAATAAGTGAAATGAAAATATTCGTAGACGGTGAGAAAAATACCGTGTATGTATGTCCTAGATGCCCTCTCAAACGCGCATTTTTGTGATAATTAACTGAATACACAAGCATTTGAGTATCACAGCCCAAAAATTTCAGCTTTCTAGCTTCTGCAGTCCCAAATTCGCAGGCAAACACATACACTTAGGCAGGCATAATCATGCAGTATTGCATTTTGATTTCTATCGAACTGCACGAAAGCCGTATTTGACTAACGGATGTTGCTTTAGTTCAGAAAGAGCTGTATTTGGAAGGCGCCTTTATCGTGGAATATTGCACTAGAAACATACAGTTGAGTACTGTACTACAAAGTGCAAAAATTTTTCGAATCAGATCAATAACAGAAGAAAGCACTTTATCTCTGCATGAATTCGGTCACTGAATTCGAAAATGATTTCGGAAAGAAATTTGCCGAGGTCCGCAATAGCAAGCAGTGTCAAAGGTATACCAAACACAGCAAACAGAACACAAAATGCACGCCCTGAGAATGTTTTTGGAGCAACATTGCCATAGCCTAAAAAAAAGTCAACAAATTTATCGCAGACTGATGCAGCAGAGTTTGTTCAATTTTTTACGAAGAAGAATTCAAATTTGATCACAGCGATCCTACTGATTTTTTAAAAATGTCCATTTTTTCACTGAAAGAAAACTTTGACAACAGCACTCGCTGCAAGTAAAAGTTTCGCTCTATTTTTGGTGTTTCTTAATAGAAGTAATGTTTTTATCAAGGCTTCATAGACAGTGGTGTGCATCACACAGCGCAAGCAGTTATATACTACTGCTTCAAGCTGCTCCAGGTGATCAGAAAGGTCGTCATAATGATATTTTAACTTCAAAGTTCTTTTTTGGAAGCCTGAATATCAGTTTCGTCCCCGGTCAAAAAATATTGAGTTTTTAAGGCTGATCAAAAAGGGCTCGCAATAGTTAAAATTTTAAAATTCCGGATGCCTGAATCACCTTGTTCTTAATTTAGTAATTCGTCTTTTGCTGGGTGCGCAGAAATACCCAGATATCATGAGTAACGATAATGGAGCGCTGTTAATTTCTCGAGTTAAAAGTAGCCATTTACTGTACACTCTCAAAAAATCACTTTTTTTGCGCATCCTACCACTTTCCTTCCGACCCTCTTTGCTAAAATCTCCCGCCCCGTCTTCCTTGCTGCTCGCCATTCGAACTGATAATGAGCAAAAATTACTGAAATTGAGCAATTAAGACGTAAATTAAGAAATAACAAACCAATTGTAGTAATAACGGTAAATGTGAATAGCAAAGAATCGGTGAAAGACCAAGGTTTTGAGGAATCCATATCTTCTACATCTGCAAAAATAGCTCAGTTCAGGCCAAAAAATTATTTGAAGCTACCAACAGTATGCCTAATTTACTTCACGGGTATCTCCATCAGAATAAGCACGAAAGGGAAGTTTTGACTTTGACTCTGGTCTTTACTGCTGATGATTTTTTATCACTGAGATTTTATTAATGGATAAAAAAGTTATTTCTGACATGTCGCTCAAAACAGCACCCTTTATTGATATTTTTTTTTCAAATACTTTTTTTAGAAAAAAAAATTCTTTGTCATACTGCAAGGGTTGACTTGTATCCATCAAAAATAATTATGCGCATACAGCAGAACT